TCCCCTCCTCCCATCCCATCAATCATCACCAGATCTTCATTAAAGTGAAGTGTCATGTATTCTATTGTTAGTACAGTACTACAAACTGTGCATGTCTTCTTCAGTTTGTGTGCATTAAACTTAATATTTCATGTGGTAAAAAAATTTTTTTCATAGTCTTGGGTGTCTTGCACGGATTAATCTGATTTCCAGAATGACTTCAAGAGTGTATCAGTCTGTAGTGGAAGGAAGGAGGGGTAGGGGTCGGCCTAGGAAAGGTTGGAGGGAGGGGGTAAAGGAGATTTTGTGTGTGAGGGGCTAGGACTTCCAGCAGGCATGCGTGAGCGTGTTTGATAGGAGTGAATGGAGACAAATTATTTTTAATACTTGGTGTGCTGTTGGAGTGTGAGCAAAGTAACATTTATGAAGGGATTCAGGGAAACTGGCAGGCTGGACTTGAGTCCTGGAGATGGGAAGTACAATGCCTGCACTCTGAAGGAGGGGTGTTAATGTTGCACTTTAAAAACTGTAGTGTAAAGCACCCTTCTGGCAAGACAGTGATGGAGTGAATGATGGTGAAAGTTTTCTTTTTCGGGCCATCCTGCCTTGGTGGGAATCGGCAAGTGTGTTAATAATAAAAAAAATATTTCTTATGGGGAAAATTGATTCGCTTTCCGATATTTTTGGTTTACGATGAGCTCTCAGGAATGGATTAACATCGCGAACCGGGGGTCCACTGTACTATGTATAAATTTCTAGACAATAGTATGTGACTAAAATAGGTGAAAATGTTCACCTGCCAATGTTTGTTCAGTTATTGTTTAGTACAACGAGTGTATATATCCAAAATACAGCTTATGTTGGTCTCACAGGCCATAAAAGTTACTTGAAAAAAATAAAATGTTAAAAAATAAAAGTAGAAAAATAATAAATAAAACTATTACCGTGTGACAGACAGTCGGCAATGTTGCCGTAAGAGGCTCACTTTGTCAACTTCACGCCTCCATATTTTGGCAAATATTGATTGCAAAAAAATTTTTTTTTTGGCCTACAACTCACAAAAATATGCTCTATCATTTCACAAGAAAAGATAATTTTATTTCTTCGAAAAATTTTTGACCCTAAGAACAAGTTTGGGAGAGAGCCTGTCGACCTTCGAAGGGTTAAACAAAAATACCAACCACTCCAACACTATACCCCCCTGCTTTTAACATTCTGTCATGATCCCATCAATTCCAGCTGTTTTACCCCTTTCATTCCATGTAATGCCTCATGCACCTCCCCCACACTCACATCCTGCTCTTCTTCACTCCTGAAAGATGTTATACCTCCCTGGCCAGTGCATGAAATTACTGCCTCCCTTTCTTCATTAACATTTAAAAGTTCCTCAAAATATTCCAGCCATCTACCCAATACCTCCAGCTCCCCATCTACTAACTCCCCTACTCTGTTTTTAACTGACAAATCCATTCATCCCCTAGGCTTTCTTGACTTTTTTATCTCACTCCAAAACTTTCTTATTTTCATCAAAATTTCTTGACATCTGCTCTCCTTTTACACTCTCACCACTCTTCACCTTTCTTTTACTCTCCATATACTCTGCTCTTATAACACTTCTGCTTTGTAAAAACCTCTCAATGATTATTATATTATTATTATTAATTTAGGGAACTGGAGTACAGATCCAATTCCCTAGGTCAAGAGCTCCTCACCAGCATCAAAGAACCTTGACACTGGAGAGGGGCTCTTGATCTAGGGAATTGGATCTGTGCTCCAGTTCAATAATAATAATAATAATAATAATAATAATAATAATAATAATAATAATGAGGAGCTTCAGAACACGGCCACTAGTTGGCGCAGAGCTGTGGAAGCATTTCTGTCATGCTTTGCTTATATTTTTTAGTCATTTGGCCAATTTTTTGTTTCTAACCATAGGTCCTAAGAGTAAGTGCAAAGGACAGTGCTGAGAAGAAAAAGAGGATGGTTTCCATGGAATTAAAGCACAAAATCATAGATAAACAAGCGAGGTGTGGAAGTTGAGGGGAAAGCGAGGGAAGCTCGCTCGCAACTCGAACGTTGGCTCATAACTCCGAGCAAAAAATTGACCAAGCGACGGCTCGTGTCTCAAAAAACTCGTATGTTGGGACACTCGTAAGCAAAGGTTCCACTGTATATGTTTACTTCACATGCAGCTAATTTCCATAAAACACCAATTTTTCAAGACAGTAAGCCTTAAGTTATAATAGGGTTTACTGAATATAAAAGGCTTAATATAAATATTAACCCAGAATTAATTTAATTCCTGGAGACATAATATCACAATAATAGGTAATATCTATTTACTACAAGTATGGGTACAAGGTATACAGGCCTAGCTGACATCAATGACATACTACTATAAAGAAAGCCCCTTGTTATGCAGAACATTTCGGGCAAATTAGGTCAGTTTTGTCCCAGAATGAGACCCACACCAGTCGACTAACACCCAGGTACCCATTTTAAACTGGTGGGTTAACAGGGACAGGGTCAGCAGGTGTCTCAGGGAAATAAGTCCCTAATGTTCTCCAGCCGTATGGGAGGAGATTCGAACTCCAGACCTCAGTGCGTGAACTGAGTGCGCTAGCAATCGAGGTATGGAGCTATGTAGGTAATTATAATAATACAGTGGGCCCCCGGCCCACGAAGGCATCGTCTAATGATATACTCGACTAAAGAAGTATTTCAGCGTAAAAGTTTTGGCCCGACCAATGATGAAAAACTCTACCAATGTGATTCGTCCTGAATATGTCCATGTGCCCCATCTGACCTGAGTGCGCCTTAGCTGCCCTGCCTTCAATTAGTGTGCCAGTGTTTACAAGCCAGTGAGGTCACATCCACGCATACATTCGGTACATTTTGTATTATTCCAGTGTTTTTAGTACTTGTAACTGCTAAATAAGCCACCATGGGCCCCAAGAAAGCTTCTAGTGCCAACCCTGTGATAAAAAGGGTGAGAATTACAATTGAAATGAGGGAGATCATCACAAAGTATGAAACTGGAGTACGCATCTCTGAGCTGACCAGGTTGTATAACAAACCCCAATCAACCATCGCTACTATCTTGGCCAACAGAAAGGAAATCATGGAAGCTGTTGTTGTGAAAGGTGCAAGTATGTTTTCAAAACAGATCGCAAGTAGTTGAATATGTTGAGACTTACTGGTGTGAATAAATGAAAAACAGATATCAGGAGATAGCATCTCTCAAGTGATCATATGTGAAAAGGCAAGGCAGTTGCATGACAATTTAATTAAAAATGAAGGTAAAGTGTCATTTATTCTTCATTACACAATATACATATGTATACAAGTATTGTGCATCTATCTTCTGTTTGTGTGTAGGAAAATGCATATTTCATGTGGTAAATTTTTTTTTTTCATACTTTTGGGTGTCTTCAATGGATTAATTTGATTTCCATTATTTCTTATGGGGAAAATTAATTCAACTAACGATAATTTCATCTAACGATGAGCTCTCTGGAACGAATTAACATCATTGGTCAAGGGTCCACTGTATTAGAAATGTATACATCTCTGTACATTGCACAATGCACAACTACCTGATTTAACACTCACGCAAATAAAAGTATGAAAATATAACAAAAACCTACCTATCTGAAGGATAAAAAAAAAAAAACTATCTCCCGGTAACTTCAAAGACATTGTCATAAGCATCTCCGAAATTTACTATGTCGACTGCATCTCGTAAGGCAAACTATTTACTCTACTACTACCTCCCCACTTATCTATACAACTTAGGCACAAAACTTCATGACATATTGTGACATACATATAAAACTACATATTATATTCTTTAAGAAAAGATCTGCGCTAGTATTAACTAGTTTGTGAAAACAGTACGTATTATACTAATTTTAGTCTGCCTGAAATGCTTCCTACCCATTACCTCTGCATCCTTCCCTGCCCTGCTGTGCTGTATAACCCTTGTGGTTTAGTGCTTCTTTCTGATTATAATAATTTGAATAACAAAAGGCTTTCCTTAGGTTGTACAAATACGCAATTCCTGAAAATCTTTAAAATCAAATTTATGTGATTTACTGCAACCTTGTCCTGCTCACAAGCTAGAATATCCTGCTCTCCCCTTCCCCACTCCTTACTAGCAAACTCTCCCTGTTCCAACCCCCACCACCACCTCTTGATACTTGCAAATTTGATGTTCCCCCCTCCCCTCACTCACAAGCTTGACCTCTATCTCTTGCCTGCATTGCCCCCTTCACCTCCACCTTATGGTAGCAAGTTCACTCTACTGTAGACTCAAAATCTGAACACTAGTAATGTGCATACTAGGTGTCACCAGGCTTCGAAGAAGTGGTAGCTATTATTTTTAAATGTCTACAAAGAATGTCTACAATAAGTTTGGTAGTTAAACTAGCAATGAAAACAGCATAGGTATCTCTCCAAAACATTTTTACAGCTTCTCCTCACTTAGCGACGTGCTCGTTTACCGACTACTCGGATTTACGATGGGCTCTGACCAGTATGTATACCTAAATAATGTATATTAGAGCTGATCATCTCTCTTCTGTTATTACAATATACAGTACACTACTGTATAAACATTTAAAAATATACCATACCAAAAATGTTATAAACTGTGCAAAGGTGACACTAAAACAATATCAAAGATGGTCGACTCGAACCCACTCATTATAGTATGCTCCTCACTTAGTGACAAATTCGTTCATAGACGTGGTCTTAGGGACAGAACTCCATTGCTAAGGGAGGAGAGGCTGTATTTGCTATAATCATGGGGAAGATTAGAGCCATTGATAGGGGTCATGCAGCACCTAGGAATTAGGAGAATCAAATTTAATCCAAGAAAGGGGAGGATAGCTCCAATTCCTTTGTCAACTCCAACTCTAGATTATATTAAATCAAATTCTTTCCTTTAGACATGGCAGTTGATGTTTCTAGTAAATTCTGACATAAGAGTACCCATGCAAGGAAGCAAAAATGCATACCAGTAGTTAAATTATCCATTAAGCGACTGAGTTCAGGCTCACTTCCTTCTGAGGGTGTGGATGAAGTCTTGGGTGTGGGTGTTGAAGGAGTAGCACGAGGTTCTGTGGCAAGACGTCCCTGCGTCTCTCCTCTCTGGCTTGGACCATTGCATATAGCTGTTGTGTTAATGGAGTTCTTGCTCTCACTTTCTACATTGGT